TTATTTGTATCTATTTCCACAAGACCGTCATCACAATTACTATTGTGCGGATCCCAATGCTTCTAGAATTCGAATTGTTTTTCCTCTTCTTTTTGAATGATGTTTAACCATATGACCAAATGTTAAGGTTTTGCGTATCAAATCATTCATTTGAAGAGAAATTTTTTAATTTTATTGAAAGGACTGTTTTACAGTAATAGCGAGTTTTTAATTTTTGGGAACATATTAGTATATACCCAGTGATGTAGAATGATGTGCGAAACTTTTTACACAAGGCTGGATTCGAACCCGTATCTCACTCTAGCCAGGAATTCGTACTCTATCCCGTTGCACTACTGATACTGTTTTGCCACCAGTCTTTTCACGCTACAACACATTTATTTGCCAGCAGCCTGAAGTCAACTGTTTGGCCCTGATAGTCGGTACCGACATTAGCCGGACAACTTCCGTAGACTCAGGGAGTGTCTAATGAATCCACATCTCCTGCTTCGAGTAGGCGCCGACTACAGCTGCTTTTCGTTACAGAGACTGCAGCTAAATTTTGAGACGTTTCGCGTGTGGTCTGTGCAGGCAGGCGGATAGGCTGCTGTTTCTTGTGTCGACACCATAATTGCACACATAACATCAAGAAAGACCACCCAGTATGCCGGCATAGATCGCACGCGAATCATTTCAACACTTAACTGTGGGTCATGCTACGAAATGTAGCTGCAATCAGCGTCCATTCGGGGTGGAAGAGGTGGAGTCGCTGGACACGCCCCTGGGTCCACGGAAGTAAACCGGTTAAACCCAGTCATGTTGGGAGATAGATGCGTTGTAGCGTGGAAAGATTGATGGAAAAACGGGCGCCAGTAGTGCAGCGGGTTAGGCACGCGCTGCCGGATAGAATAAGATGCGCGTTCGAGTCCCGCCTGACGCAAAGAGTTTTACACATTGTTCTACACCACTGGATCTACCTGCAACATCATACCAGCGCTGAAAGCGGTTAAATGAAAGGATAAAGGATAAAGTTCTCGGCGTTGATCAATCCCTGAGGGGTGAGCCATGCATTTGACTTCAATTTTTAACTTTGTTTGAGGTGATTGAATGCATATCTGGCATTTTAAATGACCCGCGATGGCCTCCCACTTAAACGTGTCAGTGTTGCTTATCTTCTTAGACAAGTCTGAGACTGTGTGGTACCAATTTACGACACCGGAGGGATGGATGGCTTGGTGAGCCATGAGCGCGAGATCGAACAGTGACCTCGTGTGCGACGCAGAGCACCTTTAGCCACTGCGCCACATGCGCTCTTAAATAAAAGGATATCGATCATAAATTATCAGAACATCTCACAGTAGTTGTTTCTGTTTTGGCAGAGGGTCACAGTACCCACACGAACCACTCTTGGATATAGAGACCGATGTTCTAGCAGTGAGCTCGAAAATGAATGAAGGCTTATGACGTAGCGAGCTACTTAGCTGCTTTTTGAGCTCTCCGGCTACTCATTGGTTTCTAAGTCTTTCATCTATCGTATCTTTTTTTTTATGGTAACATCCGCGCAATTCTAGCATTCGATTCGTTCACTTGTACTTTCGAACCCCTTGGAGATCTTCGAAAACTTCATGTGTTATTTCGTCAACTGCTCAGCGATCTCGTCTTCTTCACGAAAGACGTTGAATAATGGTCGGGCAAATCTTGCAATCTTGGCGATAGCCGGGCTAGGGCGCTCACAAGTGGTTTCAGAAGAGTGATGGGAGAGGGAGAGAGGAGAGGTTCAAGACAGAACATTGGTTCCTGATAACGTACACCACTTGCCACGCGGCCACCCTCGCCTCCACATCATATCTAACACAAATTACTACAGTTAAGTTCATGTTTTTCTCATGTGTTGTAATTGTTCTAGAGTTGAATCTTTCAGAATCTTGCGTATGACTCAGAATTGTATGAGTTATAAAACAATATTGTAGCAATGCCAAAATTGGCAGAATTAAATAATTCTAGTAGATTAAGCTACTGGAATTCTAGGAATTTGACAAACAACAAATACATAAGACTTCATGAGTGCGAAGAACTGATACTAACAGTTTGTAGATTTGAGTGTGCCCCAGTAACAAACTAAGACTCATGAAGTGAATTCTAGTTTTTAAAAGAGAAATTATGATTACCAAATGATATATATTATCTCTAAAGACGCTTCTGTAAAGGCCTTTGTTCAGATGTAATGCCTGCGTGATGAAAAAATCCCTATATTCAGCGAGAAAACCACGTTGTTGAGAAAAGGGACATATTTATCGTTATTATTGAACATTTACCTTTCTTATTCTTGTTTTTTAGTCATTCTGGATTGATAAATGCGCCTGAGAAGTGAAATACGCATTCCTGAAGATAAAAAATCATGCTAAACCTTTGGAGTAGTTAGTTTTGGCTGTTTAAACTTCACCGCGGCTTCATTGGTACCTGTGTGGTAAGAAACATGAAATTTTTACAAGCACTTTCTTGCCACAGAAAGAGGGGATGTCAGCGGAAAGACTTCTAAGAACCTTTTTTCAGTAGAAAGAAAGACCAAATGTCCTAAAAATTTTTGTTTTTTAACACGAAAACAACTTGCTTCAAAGGGCATCACATTTCCACCTCTTGCTGCACATTTTTTTCCGACGATAATGTAAATTATAGTTCGGGAACACATTTTTGCACTATATAACTTCTGAAAGCTTATATGGAGGAGCCCTCAGTGCGTAGTTTGTGAGATCACTGATGGAGTTCGCATTCGCTATTTTGTGGAGTTTTTATTTACGGAAGAAAATAGCATCCTTGACATTTATTTTTTAAACATTTCTTTGATGGTGTGACGCTTTTGTTCAAAAGATTTATTCGACAATCAGCAACTTTATATAGCCAGTTTTGTCAGCAACGAGTCGCCTTTTTTGGCCATCAGAACCAGCCTTTTACGTATGTATTGTACGTATTATATAAAATCAAGAGATAGGATGCCTATAAACAACCGACGGTTGATACTTTATGAAAAAAAAATCAACGCTTAATACTCTACTTTGATAATTTCACCTAATGAATTGTTCCAAATCACGCATTTGCAGTGAGTTTGCGTCTAATTAAAATTTTCTAATAATCAAAATCTTATACTCGATACATCTATATAGGGAAACATCCTTTCTACATAATTGACGATTAATGATTTTACAATAATCCGCAAAGAAGTAACCCTCTTTGCATCGAATTTTTAACAATCTCTCCAGATTATATACCTAATACATTTCCAAAGTTTTGATATAAATCCTAAGCCAATAACATCTAAGTGCCTAAAATCGTATGAAATGATTATACATCACACAATATACAATTCCTATAACATGCACTGCATCCAATACACAATGACCAGGA